ATTAATTAAATATTTGCGAAAATTTTTAGTTTAAATAATTTTATAAAGACAATGTAGAATTAATTTTAAATATTTATTTTATTATTAAAACTTTCATAAAAATATGTCAATATGTACACTTAATGCTACACTCTTATATGTACCATGACAAATATAATTTATAAAATCTATAACTAAACTTAACAAGGATATTGATTTGCCATCCAGCCTGAATTAAACGCAGTTTCTAGTGACCAAAAATTACCAGGTTCACCATTGGTCCAGGACCAAAATGTCCAGCCAAACGTAGCTGTATTATACACATTAACCTGAGCCTGTATAAAATCACCAGTACGCGATGCATTAAAATGATTGCACCCTGACCATTCACCAATAAACATTGGTTTCGGATTTTTAGCAGCGTAATCAGCTATTTGATTTTTTCTATCATAGTTTATATACGCAATGGCACCGTCAGCATTATTCTGATCAGAGGGGCCACCAAAACACGAGTAGTAATGCAAATCCATGGCCACCTTAGTATAACCCTGGTTAGGGTTCATAAACCCTGTCCAATAGGATTCAGTTCCCGACTCGAAAGGACTAATTAATGGATTGATGACTATATAGCTGTTTGGGGAGTATTTGCGAACTGCGGTATATGCTTGCTGATAATAATTTTGCAACTTTGAAATATTAACATTTGCTGGTTCATTTAGCAAATAGAAACCAAATAGAGCTGGTTGATTTGCATAACGTTGAGCGTATAAACTCATTGAGTCTATAGTTTGGCCAATATTTGCGTAGTATTTGTCCCAGTTGATCTGGAAACATTTTTAGTATAATATATCAGGACTATTTAGTAAATTTATAGCTTACTTGTCCAGGATACTGAGCGGGTGATGAATTTTCATTGCCATTTTGAGATCCTGGTGCTGCGTGCATACCCAATAAAATACCGATGCCATACTTCTGCCCCCATTGAAAGGCCTTATCAATGTATGCCAGACCACCGACATTATAGTTAGTGGGTGTGATGTACCAGTTCAGTTTGGCTTTACTAGCACCTCCTTGCGGGTCATATATCTGGCCAAAAATTATGATTTTTAAAGCATAAAAATTATTATACAAAACTGAACTACATTCATAAATATTAACATATATAATAATTTATTAGATTTATAAAATATTGCAAAAAAATCATGATCATTTCTAAAATTACCTGCCACCAACCAACAGGTAGGCGCACAACATTAACACCGTGTTGAGACATTTGAACAAAATCATTTTCCGTGATAAAAGTGGACCAAAATTGTTGTAAAACTGCCGGTGCTCTACTACCCAGACACTGTTCCAGTAAATAGCTTCCACCTTGGGTAGTTTTATTACATCCATTGTCATCCCAGGGCTGGGGTGCCATCCATGCCTCCATCACTAGCCAACTGCCCAAATTGGATCCACGTACTTTTGTATTGCCTGATTTTACGTTATTTAAACGGTTTATTTGGCACTGGGTTTGCCCCCATATCTCATTGCATAATACTAACAGACAAACACTTTTGAATATGAGCGAGTTCATGTTGAGTAAATAAAATTATTAAATAAAAACACTTTTTACTGTTAGAGTAAATATAAAACTTTATTATTGTCGCTTTTATATTTATTATAATATATTATAGCAAACACATGTTATTAGGTTTCTAAACTAAGCATTTGTGTTTGTATGTTTTATTTGAACTAGATATTTGACACAATATTAATTATATATCGAATATATCAATAATATAATATTTCAGGGAGCACAACTGAAATGGCAGTTTTTATAAAATATTTTCGTTTTTTCTACAATTGGTGCTAAAGTTAGTGTTCAAAGTTAAGTAACTTAAGGATCCGGTAGTTTAGGGAAATTACCCTTTTAAACTTATTTTTTACTAAATTTTATTTTTGAAATAACATTGTGTCTATCAGACAGAAAAATCCCATCAAGCAATTTTAAAACTATTGCTCATATAGTATATTAATAAAGGGTCAATATTCTAATCTTTGACAATTCATTATATTACCGTATTCCCGCGCAAACACCGGCATGCCGTTATAAAAGAGGCTGATCATTTTAACAAAAATGCCTTTATGATACCCTACCGGCATGCCGGTATAAAGTGAGGGAACATATTTATGAATGGCCATGCATTAGGTTTAACCATAGCAATACTAGTAATAATTTTACTTATATTTATATGTTTTACTAGCATAAACCTATTTATACAACAAAAATAAATAGTAAAATAGTAAAGTTTTACAGTATTGTATTATATACATATTTTAAAGTGAATGAGTGCTTAACATCCAACCCTACTATTTAAATACATAGAGGTGTTTAGCAAGGGAACACAAGGTTAGCCGGCACCCATCCCCTTTCGAAATTGGTTTTCAATGACCACAATTCACCGGATCCGACGGTCCACGACCAAAATGCCCAGCCCAATGAAGCCTGGTTGTACACGTTGAACTCAGCCTTGGCAAATTCGCCATTGCGACTCGGGTTATTAAAATGATTGCACGATGACCATTCACCAATCAACATTTTCTTTCCCGGATTTCTACTGGCGAACGTAGCAATTTGGTTCTTTAGGTCGTTGTTTATATAACCAATAGCGCCATCGGGGTTAGTCTGATCGGGATCGCCACCAAAGCACGAGTAGTAATGGAAGTCCATGGCCAACCTGGTCATACCCTTTCCAAAGTTTATCCAATGATCTTCGACACCCGACTCGCCATTGAGCAGTGGGCTGATCACTATTACCGAGTCGGCCGAGTGTTTACGTATGGCAGCGTAGGCTCGGTTATAGTAATCTTGCAACTTTCCGACATCCATACCATCGGGCTCATTGAGAAGACAGAAACCGTACAGGGCACTGTGATTGCCGTAACGCTGAGCATACAGCTCCATTGAGTCTACAGTCTGACCCCTGTTTGCATCGTATTTGTCCCAATTTTTCTATAATTATATTTGTAAGTATATCTTAGCTTAAACATTTTAAATATTACTGATTTTTTAAATTTATTATATAGAATTATCTATATTAAGCATATTAAATTCTTAAATATTCCTTGGTAATAGTGCTTCATATAAAAAGTTTAATAGGTTTATGAACATACCTGAGGAGGGTATTCAGTGGGTGACGAGTTATCAAAGGCATTTTGATTTCCAGGTGCCGCGTGCATGTCCAATAATATACCGATTCCGTGTTTAGCGCCCCATTCGAAAGCCTTATCAATATATGCCAGACCACCGGTTATGTAGTTGGTAGGTGTGATGTGCCAGTTCAGTTTGGCTTTGCTAGCGCCACCTTGCGGGTCATAAATCTGAAAAGGGATAACATAATATTAGCTTTATAAATTATATAAAATATTATATGGCTATAGCTTTATTGTACTATATAAGGTTATCTTTTTATTATAAGTGTAGCACTATTCAGTTATTAGGTAATAGATATAGTTAATAAGTTTTTTAGCTATATTAAAAGGAGTGGTAACTAATGGTCTGTTCATTTTTACCATTATAATATATTATATTATATAAAACAACTATATACTGTAACCCTATAAGCCTATTTAAAGTAAATTCGTCCAAATCTCAAAATGACCAAAAAGTAGCCTATAATCAATATAACACTATTTACAACAGTCGACTTCACTGTAAAGCATTCATATTTACAGTATTTATATATTTACAAATTACTTAGGCGTCATTCACAAAGTACATACGCAAAATTCTGGTCAAAAATTGACCCTCCCTCCCCCCTACACGCCCATCGTACATAGGAGTTTAACATGGGGACATACGCTTTGGCATGACCCC